AAAAAAATTAATAATATCAATAGTTTATGTTGTGTATATAACATATATATGTATAGAACCTTAAATTCACAATTTCAATCAGATTCTTGAGCAGTCTGCACCAGTTAGCGGCGATATGTTTGATCAAGTTGACGTATTTTCTCCCCTCAACACGCAATTTTTTGAGGAGGTTGATCGAAGTACGGAGGAAAAATTGAGGAATGCATCAAAAAGCAAAGAACCGGTAATAATTATGTTAATTATGTTCACTATATTTATTATAACTAAACAATCAACGCATGTTGGTCTATATATTATTCTAATGATTTTTTTTAAAATCAACTTTTTTAGGATCTTGCACTCCCCAAAGTTGATATCCCGATGGTTGCAGATGATGGAAAGGCATTGATTAGTTCTCAGCCGTCCTTTGATTTAGGTCTCACACCCATAGACCCATCAAAACTGAACAACAAACCACCACAGGAAAATCCAATGGTCAAATTTTATTTATATTTTGTTTCGAATAATACAAAAAACAACCATTTTCATTACAACACATATATTTAACTATTTTTTCTTCTTTTTTTTTTCAGGATATCATAACAAAAGTTGTGCATGAGATGGAAACTGGAGAACTTGGAAAGACAATCGAAATACAACCTTCTTGCTACGACGTTGTCCTCGTACCTAACCCACCAACCATGCAGATTGGGACATCAAAGACAATAGAAAAACCCAAGAAACGCCGTTGTGTGAGGAAAGGAATTCCGCGAACAAAATCGTGTCCGTTTGACGTTGATTTCTGGGAAAAACCTGAGCGGACAAGCGATTTTATAAAGTGGTATCTGACTGGTATGCTCAAGACAGCACTCAAGTTTAAAGACGGGTACGAAACAAATAAATTTGAGAACCAAAAAACTTATATTTTGTTTTATCTTTCGGTTTTTCTCAAGTAGTATTTGGACAGTATAGGTACAGTAAATATAATTTATTGCTGATTCATTAATTTCTTCTAATGTTATTTGTTTTACATTATTAGTACAAAACATATAGTATTGTTTTTATGAGCAGGTTATGTACAGTATACGTAAATTTTAAAGTCAGTTAGCTTTAATTTTGTTGACATTTTTTTGGACACTTTATGTGCAATTTGTATATAGTTTTGTTCATTATATGTACACCTTTGAACATTATATGAACAGTTTATGGGATGTTATCTACAACTTTGTATAACTGTAAAGTACATGCAGCATATGAACATTATATTTTCAGATTATGGGCAGGTCATGTACAGTACATGTAAATTTTAAAGTCTTTTAGATTTTGATAGCATAGACAGTTTGTTGGACACTTTATTTTGGATTTGTATATATAGTATTTGTTCAGTATATGCACAACTTTGAAACCCCAGTTTATATCATATTCAATACAGAGTATATGCATCATATGAACGTAATATGAACACTTCATATGTATTGTATATGCACAGTACATATAATTTATTGCTTAGTCAATAATTTCTTCTAATATTATTTGTTTTACATTATTAGTAAAAAACATATAGTATTGGTTTTATGTGGAAGTTATGACAGTATACGTAAATTTTAAAGTCAGTTAGCGTTGCTTTTGTTGACATTTTCTTGGACACTTTATGTGCAGTTTATATATAGTTTTGTTCAGTATATGTACAACTTTGAAGATTATATGAACAGTTTATGGAGGCTAGGTACAACTTTGTACACCTGCTAAGTACATGCAGCATATGAACATTATATGTTCAGTTTATGCGGCAGGTAATGTACAGTAAACGTTGATTTTAAAATCAATTAGATTTGAAATTATAGACATTTTATTGGACACTTTATTTGCATTTTATATATAGTTTCTGCTCAGTTTATACACAACCTTGAACCCCTCAGTTTTTGGTTTGTTTCAATTTTGTTTATATGCAGCATATGAACGTAATATGAACACTTCATATTGACATTTAGATAGCCACTGTATCTTGTCGATTGACGAACTATGAAACGTATTTGAACAGTAGATCTTTCCAGTATTTGCCACATCATACTTTTAATAATTGATTAAATTATTTTATTGTTTGTTTATGCGACGTCTATTAATATTTATAATTATTTTGACTCAACTAATGAATTCATCAGGTATATTCGCTACGGTGTGAGATCCAAAGTTCTGAAACCACCGTTTGATTTTAATGTTGCCATGATATGTGATAAAAATTGGTTTTGCACCATGTACGAGTCAGGATGCTTCCTTGATAGCAGCGTAAGTGTTAAATAATTAAAATTCCTTCATTTCTAATATTTAAATTATTCATTCTGTTCATATGTATATACATAATTATATAAATAATATTTTTTTTTTTTTAATTTCTGAAATAATATTCCATTAACAGCACATGGATGTCTTGTTCTACTACCTGAGGAAGATTGGTGTGCATGGTACTAGTGCTGAGGTTAGGTACACGACGACTGATGTGATGTTTGACCAACACATCAAGTCGTTATATGCTATATACCTGTCACAGTCCTGCAATACTACTCTATGCAGTGTTCATGATATTATCACTGACTACATTATGGGTTATAGACTTATATGTGGAAAGTCATGGTTTGATGTTGATCACATCTTGTTTCCGATGCACGTAGAAGTCAGTGGTATTGGTCATTGGATACTGGGTATATTGACATTCAGCAATATGAAATTTTGGGTTTATAACTCGTACCGGTCAGTTGAAGTTGATGAGATTATTCTAGAAAGTGTGCAGGCGTATGTTAGATTGCTTCCAATTTTCCTTGTCTTGGTGAATTTTTACGGAAAAAGGACTGATGTCAATACTGATGCTGGGGGTCGCATACCAACAGATGTTAACAGTCCATTCGAGGTTTTGATGGCTGCCAACATCCCACAGCAAGCGGAGAGGTCAGTAGACCCAACCAGAAAATATAAATTAAAAATTATAGCTACCTTCTGTTATATGTTCGGATTATAATATGTTTTTTTATATTTATTAAATGCAGCGATTGTGGTATTTTCGTTGCATCTTACGCTGAGCACTTCATAACCAATGTTGACATAACTACGAAGAAGTTTAATGTTGATATCGAGAGACAAAGGTACACTTATTTGTTGTACACACACGGTAGAACGAAGCAGATCAATGGTTATGAAAGTGATGATGACCCGCCCGGATCAATGCCCGATGACGTCCGTTTTAGTCTATTAGCTTGACTATCTTTGTTGGAATTACTTATTTATTTTTTTTTTTCGAGCATTGGCAGACTCAGGATTGTCTTTCAAGGATGTTTTAGTCTTTCAAGGTTGAACATGAAACAAACTATTTACTTTTTGGCTTTGTAGTTATGATTAACTGATGGTATTTCGTGATTTTTTCTACGACTTTTTATTTGATTTATGTTTTTTACATTATTTGTTTATTATTTACTGCAACAATTATCCAATTCCTTTTTTTTTAATGGTTAAATTATGATTTTGGTTAAATTGTAAATACATCACTTAATGATGTGATTTATGTATTTTTTTCTCACATCAAATGTATATGTAGTTATTAATACTTTTTTATCCTTAACATATTGAAAATATAAATTTAGAGTTACTACATAAAACGTATATGTAGATTATATAACAAAAATTTGTCCAGTTCAAATGTCTAGTTTTTTTTCACGATTGTGCTGAGCATAAATGTAAAATTAGTTAACTTTTTTCTATCATATCATGTTTTGCAACTCATATAAGATAATTGAGATTTTTTTAATGAAGATATCATCATATTATCATATATATATATATAAATATATATATATATATATACAATAAACAGATATAGCTCAACATTTATTCTGTATTTAAAGTGTTAAATATCATGTTATTGATAACTGCATCCACATTTTATATGTATATAAATATATAAGTAAAACTGTATTTCAGCTTTGATATGAGAAACTTCTTAATTAAATATTAATACATCAATTTTGCAGAAAAGATAAATTATTTATAAGATGATGGGAATTGCAATCAGATACATTTTTTAGTTACCACCATACAAGTTTACTTGACTTGGTTCCTACAAGTTTTCACATTATGACCTTTCTCATTACATCTGCCGCATCTGTTCTTCGACTTATGCTCCCATCCCGACTTGAATCTTTGCTTTCGTGGCCGTCCCGGCCTAACTTTAGCATCTGGAGGATTTATTCGTCATTGCGTCGAGTGCACTCCATTAGTAACATGCGAGCTTCCTTCTACAGGTATGACTGCTTCATCATATGTAGCCATCATTGTTGACGTTAGGTAGTGCATTGAACAAAAAGTGACTGGATCCAAGTGCAAAGACTTTATCACGCGTACAGCATGTGGGCATGGGAGCTCATCTATTTGGAATCGGTTGCAAGTGCAAGTCTTAGTATCTATATCCACTATATATGCCTTTCCATCAGCAATCACCTTGAAAATCTTTTCACTTGCCTTCTGAACCTACATTAAAAATAAAAAAATAAAATAAAAAATTACAGTATTTTATACGCAGTATATATAAAGTAAATATCTAGTATATGTATGGTATATAGGTCTTACCGAAAACCTCGATGCCGCCTTATAGTTATTTTCCAACATGTTATGAGGCTTCTTAGCAAGTGTCGTAAACGTTGCCTTCGCCTCTTCTCTGTTGGCAACATTCCACTTCTGTTGCATTTCTCTCAAAGCCTCTAATAGTGTTGTTATTGGAAGATCACGAATTGACTTTGTCACTGAGTTAACTGTTTCAACAGCATTAGATGTCATTGTGAAGTACCTATTCTTTGGACAATGAATTCTTGCCCACTTCTGTACTCCAATTTTTTCCAGATACGTTATTACATCCGGATTCAGCTTTTCTATCTCAGACATGTGCATGTCATACTCCTCAACTGTATAGGCCCTTGCTGCTGCGTGAAATGAATCCTTTACCGCTTGCGCTTCTGTTTTATAATGTTTCTTAATGTTGTTTGATATATGATACGTGCAAAGGCAGTATGCTGCGCTCGGAAAAACCTATACATAGATAACATTACAATCTCATCAACACTCATGTACAAATGTTTATTTTATCCATATTATACGAATGCAATATATGCCACATATATGCACCATAACCGAGAAATACACTAAAAAAAACTGTCTATTAACCAAAATACATTGGATATATAACTGCAAAAAAGCAGGTTCATAAACTCCCTAAAAACTGTCTTCAAGATGCCAACATTATTTGGTTTAAATCATGTACATTTACTGTAAATAGACTGTATATAAAATGCTAATATATTTTTTCATAAAATGTCTATATACCAAATTACAATGCCTTTAACATTTACATACTCTATAAATCACCTGCATAAAACATAATTGTATTTACCTTTCATATACTGTCCAACGCATGCACATAAAAACTCATTTTGTCCATAAACAACTACTGTCAATATACTATTCAAATAATTACCATGCACGAGACATATAATCATCACATAGTTAACATAAATTACTTTTATAAATTAATCATATTTAATATTTATTACAAAATAAGCAACATAAACGATATATATTTTTCACATATAACGTACTGTAAACATGACATACGCCAAACATATATGTGATATATACTTAAGCAAAAATTCTGTTTACCTTTTCTACAGCATACTTTATACTCTCGTGTCCATCCGAAACGATGCATAAACCATCCCTTTCACCAATCAGTGTTTGTAATTTGTTGAAAAACCACAAGTATGACTGATTGTTTTCCGAATCAACAACACAAAATGCAAGTGGTAGAATGTGAAAATTCGCATCTTGACAGCATGCGGTTAACAAAATTCCTCCATACGACGATGCTAGAAATGTCCCATTTACAACAACAATCGGACGACAATACTTCCATCCTTTGACAGATGCACTAAGAGACATGAACACGTACAAAAAATTCTGATCTAGAGTTGCACACAACTTCAGTATACTTCCTGGATTTGCTGCACGTAACTTCTCAAGATATTGTTGAACACAATCATAAGAATCACTAGCCTTTCCCCGAACTTCATCAATAGCTTTGCGCTTTGATCTCCATGCCTTGTGATACGACAAGTTTATACCATATCTTATTTGCATGTCATCTATGATGTCCGCAGCTGTATAAGAAGTCTTATTGTTCAAGAACTTTGACTTGATAAGGTTACATACAACATTCGAAGTAGCCTGCCTCTGACTACTTGTTCGAACATCAAAAGAACATTTATGTTCGGTACCAAGCTCTCTTATCTTGAAGGTGCTAGAATGACCAACACGAGATGCTTTAACATACCATGTACAATCGCCAGACATACACTTCACATAATATTGTTTATTACACGACTTCTCCACCCGAAACTGATATTGATTCTTAATTGCATGGACACTCATAAACCTCTGCAAAATTGATTTATCCTTGAAAGAAACACCAACAACCAAGTCAGAGGTCAACTGATCACCAATCGACATAATTTTATCATCAGTCGGGTATATGTTCAGATTATGTTCAGTATATGCCGCGTCTCTTACCATATCTTCTGCAACATTGCGTGCAAACGCCATAAAATTCATAGGCCCTTCAGGATTCTCAACATAACTATCGAGATCAGCGTACCTCAAAGGAGCTATACCTGAGTTGAAAGTATTTTCTTCAATAGACATGGCTCTGTCGTACGATCTCGCCACCTCAAATCTAGAGTTTACTACAACACATACAGGGTTCTTCGTGTAGTCTTGTTCTTTTGACTTCAACTCGACGTAGAATTTAAGACTTCTATCATCTTTTATGCAAATCGGTGGATATCCTTCCTTCAATTGGTATTTCAACTCCAAACTACAATCTGTCGATGTAACTCCAAGTTCTTCCATAATCACGCAGCACAACTCGTCATAGCATGATTTTTGTTGAACCAAAACACCAGACACCTGAAAATTACTGTATTCATTTTGATTCCACTCACCACTGTGATGAATTATTATCATCATGGGAGAATCCATCTGTAAAAATAAATTAAAAAAAAACTAGCATATAATTAACGTCGATTTTTTGCAGAATCGATCAATATAAAGCATATATACTGATTATATGGCAGAAGAACAACCTTGTTACTACCTTGTATAGATCAGTTGTAAGCCACCATAACACAGCGATCACACTACTTGTTGAGGTACTCACTTCTATTGCTGTGAAGTTTAAATTTTTGAAATAGTTTTACAGTCTTAATTATCGAGGTTTTGTTATGATATAGCTGATTCTTTATTGCTTTAATTACACGTTCAGTTTTTTTTTTTTTCTTTTAAT